ATAAACAAAATATCTCCGAATTTTTAGTAATTCTTGAAGGCGTGTTACAGGCTGCTTACACATATAATCCGCATGCCTCAATTCTACTCTTCGGTGATATCAATATAGACCTTTTGATAAATAATAACAACTCAAAACATCTTAAGCAAGTTTTACAAACGTTTGACCTTCGACAAACAATTTATGGTATTACACGACCAAACATAAATGACGGAGGCACATGTATCGACAATATTTTTGTAAATTTTGATTACATTGCGACTGATATTCTTGATTTGGGCAGGTCTGACCACAAAATCCAAACTTTAACTCTACAAACACACAAGGAACCCGATAAAAATGACAAGAGTGCAACTTTTAAACGCATTTATAGTGATAAAAATATCAACAAATTCATTTCTCTTTTAGATGAGGCAAATTGAAACGAGGTGTACATAAATTCAAACTGTGAAAGAAAATTCAATTATTTCCTGGAAATATTTTTACATAATTATAATCAGAGCCTTAAAACTAGAATTTTTAATTCAAAAAAAAGGAATGTTACAAAAAGCATTTGGATAAATTCAGAGGTAAAGCAGTCGAAAGAAATATTAATGTTTATTTATAGCGCTTATAAACAACATCCAACAACAACAAATAAAAAAATATATGAAGGTTATAAGAAACGGCACAATGCGCTTCTACTCAAAACGAAGCAAAAATTTTATGAACAACAAATAAATCAGTCCGATAACAAATCAAAATCTGTATGGACCATCATTTCAGAGGAGACAAAGAGCAGAAACTCTAGAAAATCCTACAAACAACTGCCCGAAAATTGCAACCCAGACAATTTTAATAATTTCATTTTGGAATATGCCGATAAGCTAATGCAAAAGATAACTCCAGGGGGCAACACATATAAGAATTTTATCCAAACTAAAAAATCAGTTCCGTCCCAATCGATGTTCTTCCATCCAATGTTAGAAGACGATGTACGTATTATAATAAACAAACTAAAAAATAAATCAACCGAAGATATATTTAATATCAGCGTTAAAATTCTAAAAATATGTAATGCGTCAATTGTCAAACCACTAACAGAAATTATCAATGCTTGTCTATTGCAAGGACATTTTCCTTCAAAGCTAAAAACAGCAAAAATAATACCAATATATAAAAAAGGAAATATTAATGAACTAAAAAACTACAGACAAATATCTATTCTGCCAGCCTTTTCTAAAGTCTTTGAAACGGTTATATCAAATCAACTACTTAAATTCTTTGAAAAACATGGCATTTTTACATCAGAACAATATGGCTTCCGAAAAGGATTAAGCACCATTGATGCTGTACTATCTCTCGTTAACTATGTGAAACAAAGTTTTGAACAGAAACAAGCATGCTGCGCAATTTTTACCGACCTAACGTCTGCATTTGATTGTGTGGACCATAATATTTTATTATACAAGCTAGAATACTATGGTGTGAAAGGAAAATGTATAGAAATGCTTACTTCATATCTATCAGAACGCACTCAGCATGTGGTTATAAACGATAAGGCTAGTCAAGAAGGCAAAATATTACGAGGAGTCCCTCAGGGATCAATACTTGGTCCTATTTTGTTCCTTCTCTACATCAACGACCTAGCAATCAATATGTCACAAACAAATCATACAGTGATGTATGCAGATGACACTTCGTTCTGTGTCAGTGTGGACAAGGAACAAAATAACGACCAGGTATCTCAAAATACAATAGAATCGGCGGGAATTTGGTTTGCAGCAAATAAATTCGTTCTAAACAAAAACAAAACAGACATCATGGAATTTCAAAATTGTAATGTGAAATCAGATAACGAAATAAAATTTCTTGGACTCTACTTAGATAATAGACTCTCCTGGAATGCACATAGTGAACATATATGTAATAAGTTATCTTGTGCTGTTTATGCGATACGCAAAATTAAAGTAACAATAAACGAAAAAGCTGCCCTTCTAACTTACTACGCACTGTTTCACAGTATTCTTAATTATGGAGTCGTTATCTGGGGTGACGCAGCCTTTACATGTCTACAAAAAGCTTTTGTCCTACAAAAGGCGGCCATTAGGGCAATAGCCACGGCAAACTATAATGCAACCTGCAGAAACCTCTTTACAAAATATAAAATCATGACACTTTACTCCATGATAGTTTTTGAAAAACTAATCTGCGTAAAAAAAAACATCTCTGCATATCCAGTAATGTCTGAAAAGCATAGATATAGCACGCGCCGCAATCAAGATCTTTTTATACCCAAAGTAAGACTGAAAAAAACCGAAAACATCGATTTACGTTTCTACAACGCGCTCCCCCTTAGTATAAGAGATGCTGATATTCGGGTGTTCAAAAATACACTCAAAGATATTCTAAAAAAAAACACTTTATACGATCTCGATGCATTTTATAACATCGATTTTAATTTGTACGCATGATTTAACTATATTGTTCTGTATTTATTATTTGTGTGTTATTAATTTATTGTGACATGTCGAAATTTTGTAGAAAATCTCCGACAAAATAAACTTATTATTAGTATTATTATTATTGGACAAATTTTGGGTAGCGTTTTAGCATCTACATGATATTATTTCTAATATGCTACAAAATTTTACAGCAATCGATCCAGTAGTTTCGGAGATTATGTGTCTAATGAAAATCGAAACAGACCATGACAGGCAGACGAAAAGGGGGGACCATTTTTTTCCAAGTCTTGAGGCCATGAAACATCGAGAAAACATGAAAGTAACCAATCGATCGATGGATTCGATTACAATAGTTTCTTGGTTTACGCTATAGAGTTTAGAACGAAAAGTAAAACAATAAATCTAAAAGGCCATACAAAAATCTCGGAAGGAATTCGGTCACAAGATGAAAGAAAATCAAAAACCATTCTTTAGTAGAATAAAACAACTAAGACAAAAAATCACTCAGACTAAAAAACATAAAAAATAAAACAATACAAAAGAAGAAAAAGAAGAAGAATAGGATGGAACAATAACTGAACAAACAAAAATAATATACCACAGCTGGAGAAATAGGACAAAATGAAATCATCCCAGAAATGCAAAAGTTTACGGGAACAGCAGGTAAAGAATATATCCGCGAAGTATTAAATAACACTATACCGACAAAGGACATTCCAAAGACCTCTACAACTATAAGGGGATAACTCTGATCAGTATGACAGAAAAAATACTAACAAGAATATTAGAAAAAATATTAACAGCAAAACTAGATCCACAGCTGCAAGAGTCACAATATGGATTCAGAAAAGGTAGAGTACGCAAGATGTGATATTTATACGAAGACAACAAGTCGACAAGGATGCGTTGAAATAAAGGGCCAATTTCAAGCCAAGGGCCAAATCCAACTTGAAATTGGCCCCTTTGTCCAGTATGTTTTCTGTTGTAATTATGGATATAGGAACTTAGAGAATAGAATCAGTGAAATTCTAGCATGATATGACACTGACAGCCGACACAGAAAAAAAACTACAAAGAAATGTAACGATGCACCAGGAAGAACTGAAGCAAATAAATAAACATGGCAATAAATTTGGAAAAGATATATATATATGTATACAGTGATAGTAACAGACGAAGAAAAGAAACGCAATATAAATATCAAGGGAAAATACCGAGACTAGTAAAAAATTTTAATAACCCGTGTAACGAAGCGAATTTTCGCGGGCCGGAAACCGTGGCGCGTACCGCGAAAGCCGGGGGTAAATTGGCGATCGCCGCGCCGCCGCGGCGGAAGTAGAGGACTCTTACCTGCAACTTCAAGGAGTGTGGAAGGGCTGTGGCTGCTGTCCTGGTGTTGAGAAGTTTTTGGAGAAGTGTGACCAAGTGAGCAGTTCGACCCTCCGACCCACCGTAAGTACCTTTTTGGGTCGCCTGCCTGAGCGGGAAGATATAGCCGGAAAGGCACCGTAAACGAAGAAATAAACGAAAGATTGGGGAAAGTTGGAAAGTTATATAATATACTAAGATCAACATTTAATGAAAAGAAGGAAGTACCAAAACAGATAAAAACAGACGTATACAAAGAAGTTTTGAGGACTTCATATATGTAATATGATCACCAGATTTCGGCATCGAGGAAGTGGTACTCATTACCGTCCGCTCGCCAGCGCTATTGCAGTCGTGACCTTCAACTTCGGGATTTCTTAATAATAGTTACCCCGTTTTTCAGGTTTCCCTCAATTATACGAGTTCTCCTAGATGTGCTTTAAAAATTAAAAATGTCTGTTCAGCATCACAATTTTCGTGATGATCTTGATCGGATAAACTCTAAATTGCATCAAACGCCACTGGGATTGAGACTGCACAGTCGGCCAGCCAAATTTATCGCCTGATGTCGCGCCATCATATTTTATATTTGTCTGATTGATTCCCCATCACTTCGGCTGTGCCTAACTCTGATAATCACTGAAGAATTGCAGTTGAGCTGGTTAAGCCACATACACACACTAGATGAGAGAAGAGATGATGATAAAAACATTCTTGAGGCAAGAGTTTAAGGAAATGATAGGAAAAACAAGACATAAGATTATGGAAGAAGAGAATAAAAGGAGGACTAACAAAAGCGGTCAGTGTACTTAATTAACTGCACCCAAACATAAACAAGTAGCAAGGACAGGGTACAAACAAACTATAAAATACGCATTGTAATGTAAGAATGTAGATAGTTCAACACACTTGCCGGCATAAGGACAAAAGTTTAAATAAATAAATAAAGAAATGCTTAATTTAACAAATATAGACACGATGTTTTGGGAATTGCCAAGACTTTTATGATTAATTTCCGAGGAAGTGGCAAAGAAACGTCTCAGAAATATCTTGGAAAAAACCCTGTATAGAATTATTTACGTGTCACTGCGAAGTTGGAAAAATAAAATATCAAATCAAAATGTATTTAGAGAAGATCATACATGTAGGTGTAATTTAGCTAATATAAAAAAAAACAATGTAGTAATACGAATGTAGTGACTAACAAGATTTATTTGGAAAATTCTCTACTAAAACTTGATATGAAGGAACAGAAACTTCTGTGCCACCACCAATAAAGTGCAAATTAGCCGCTCCTTTGTTGTACACAAGCACTTTTCCCACGATTAGTTCACCTTGGTACATCACTCGTCCAACGTTAATCATTTTACCAATTTCGTAGCCCCCAATGACTAATTGTTTACCAGTTGTAGTCAAATGTAGATCCGAACCAGTGGCATTTTCCCAAGAAAGAAAATTCGCGTTTGAAGTACAAAGTATCTGGAACCACATTGCTGAAACTTTATTTTATTTTGGCAAAACTGCATACTTTCATGCCGAGATTAGAGTAATTCGCTTTCCAATTACAGGGTAAGTTCATACCGGTTTGACCACGGTAAACAGTCGTCGGTATAATACCAATGCCGGTTAAAAATGCTTGACCAATATAGGTGGGTTTATTGTTTACATCATATCCACCCGGGTATGCGTCTTCAGGTATTTCGCTCGTATAATCTCGCCAGTAGTAACCTAAAATATTATCACATTTGCTGCACTTCCAAATTCATAAAATACAAAGTTGCCAGTATCGTTGGCGAAGCGAGTCTAATGTGCGTTAGGTACTATGTTTAGGTTAATAGAAATCAAATTGAAGATTCGCCAGAAAACTTTAACCTGTTTAATATTTTTGGACACTTCATATATAACAACATTCAAAAGTTACTGCAAAATGTACACAATAAGCGTTTTAACACGTTTTGTGTACATCGTGTTCAAAATAAATTTTTTTGTTGCTTACCTTCTGGTACTGGATGATAATCGTGATAATTATCGTAATCATGACATTCATGACATTTGTCAAACAGAAAATATCCAATTATGACAATTCGAAAAAAATTGTGTCGATTCATCTTGCCGTATTTCTAGAGCTACTAAAAATACTGTGTTCAAATAATACATTTTCATCTTATTTATAGCGGCTTCACTCGTGAAATTCCACTAATATTACTTATCTTTATGTGTATGTTTTGTCCAGGACTTGTTTTAAAACTAGTTTATGAGCGTAGAATAACATTGAACTAATAGAGGCAATTTGACAAAGAAATCAGTCTGAGAAGAAATTATTCAAATATTTTTAATCAAAAACCCATTACAGTAACATAACAAGTCTATTCATCTCCACATAAACTAAATCCCATATTAATTTAATATTTTTACATTGCCAATACGATAACAGTGATTGCCCTCTTCGTAGGTTTTGCCAATACATTACTTCCTGGGCGTAATCTGAGAGTATTTTCAGGTTTTCTCGACGCTTCACGATCCTTAGAGTACGAAAAAGTAGGTCCCTCGTTTCCTTTTGTCTGTGTCAATTTTTATTAGACAGATAATCTCCAAAACTACTGACCCGATTGTTGTCAAATTTCAAATTTTATATATACATATATTAACCGTGTACCCGATAGGATTTCCCATTGGCAACATCTCAGGAAGCATCCATCTTTTCTCAAATGTTAGAGTTTTTTGGTAACATGCTCTGCCCATGCCCTTTTTATACCCTTTTAAACATATGTCTAAATATTTCTTCAAAAATGACCAACTCCTATACAAAATTTCATCCCCTATTTAACTCTCTTAGGGGATGCACTTTCAAAAATCCTCCACCTACGTTATATAAGGAACTCCTGTGCTTCTAGACCCACCCCTTTAAGCTATGCGTTATTTGTCCGTCAGTGTGTTAGGATTTTATTAAGTAAGTATGTACATATAGCTAACATAAATGTTAGGAAAATCGTGTAAATTGTAAAACGCTAATCAAAACTTATCTAATCATTTCCACCAAAAATTTGATGACGTCCCCTCAAAATTTTTTAGTAAACCAATTTTCAAATAGTGTACTCTTGTACTTGGGGTTTATGAATTTGCCTAAAGTTTTTACCGTAGACATCCAAGTTTCCGTAAAAAATTCAAATTTTATGATAACCTTTTATACGATTACACGCGGCACGGAAATCGTACATGGTGTTGAGGTAAAGAAATAAAATTTTGTCATTTTTAAAGAAAACGATTTTTTAGTCTGTACTTCAGGAACGAAGGAAATTCTCTCTAAATAAGTTTACCTAATTTGTTTTTTCATAATAGTTATATGAGATATTCAAGAGTGGTCGCTGTATAAATAATTAATTGATTAAAAAAATTATACAGTAAAAATAACGTAAATCAATTGTTTATAATTTGGTTGTAGTGTTACCAACTCTTCAATTTATTAAGCTGCATTTTAACTCAGCGTATGTATTGTAGAAATACTTGCCATAAATATTGAACAATTTTTTTAATTTCGCGTATATATTATGTAGTACGGTTGTATAAGGTACGCGCTTCAAGAAATATCATTCAGATTTTACATGCTTGAATATCTTTCCTACTTTTTATATTTTCAAAGTCACGAAAATGAAATTATGAAAGTCTTATCAAACGACGTGCATAATGTGTGCAAAAAATCGCGAGGTTGCCTGCAATTTTCTATGCTAACTTCAGGTCTATTTTCAATTTAGATAAAGACACAGAGACTATAAACTTCAAAATTTACAAAATTAGTGTACATTTTATCTTTTTTTACGGAAGCTCAGAATCGTAGTGTATCGTTATTTTAGGTTTTTTTACAATTACAATGATGGTCATTATTTCCTATTTAAATTAAAAAAACACATAAAAGAATGTAAAATATGTAGTTAATTTACACGAAAGGCATAACCTTGGGTATAAATTACCAAACAAATGTACTTATTCTGAACAATTATATTAAATTAAGCAAAACATGGGAAACATTTTACTTTAAATAAAAGCATTTTGAAGTAAAATTGTTTTATAGTGCATCAAGGAGAACGGTGGTCTGACTTCTGCACCACCCTTATCAAGCTTGTTAGATGCAAATTTGTGCCACGCTTCCCTTGACTGCAAATCTCTAAATCACTAGACGAAAAATATACATCGGTTTTTCACATCATACAATATTGCTAATTCACCACTTCTTAGGAATGGTAAACATTTTTGAAGTTTTATCGGATATGGTGAATACGGGACTCCTCAGAGTGATAATGACATTTCAACTGTCAATCTATCGATGGAGATAAGGATAAAATAATTATCCTTACAATACCAACGAGTGCAACCATTTTTTTTTTTTTATTTTATATGATCCAATTTTTTTTTTAAGACAACTGATGTTGAAATCTATATTTTAGTGTCATATACTTATTTGCATTATCAGCTGTTTCGTTTTTGTTTTGTTGACAGTATCTCTGATAATAATCACTTACTTATCACAGATATGCAGTTAAATCTATTTTTAAAAAATGTAGGTATATACGTCGAATAACAAGCAATCGGCGTATATAAAAGTATGCATTTAAACGTAGTTTGAAACATGTCCATGGTGGTCAGTATAAAATTTTCAATTATGTGCAAAATACGTCCTGTCGTGTCTGATTTGATTAACTTAAATTTTCACTGGATATTTTTATACACTGCTCTCATAAAGTATGGTCGGTCTACATCACCGCCTTTGCGTTGATAATAATTTATTACTGTGAAAATTATCAAAACCTAAATTTGAAAACTGCCTTTATTTTTCATCATCATAATTTACGGCTTTTTAGCAAACTCTTGGAATATTCTTATAATGGAATCAAAAGTTTCTTCTGCAGTCGGTATGATTAATTCAGCAGGAAGAAGAAATCCGTATTTTCCCGTATCACGCAGTTCATATGTGTACGTTATTCTAGTTCCAAAAGTACCTTTCACCCAATCGGGACTTCCACCACTTGCTATGTCTGAAAAATGGAAGTAGAGGTAAGACGTTGATACACCCGAAACGCTCATACTTACACATTAATTCAGCTACATTACCAATTTCGTACTGAGTACCATAACGTTGAGAAAGTGTATCAATTGCTTTCAATCCGACGTCGTACTACAACAAAGAGCTAAATTATATCAACTGTATAACTTCACTGCTTAATTAAACTTACCAATTCATCGTAATTATCCAAATGATCTGTGGTATACCCATATGGAAGAAGCAAAGCTTGATGATATGAATGGAAAGAAATATAACCTTCCAAGCTATGACCTATAGTGAGCAAATACTCAGAAAGGGATTTTGTCATAGGTTCAGAAAAAGCTTCAGGACCAGCATACGTGTCTGAGCATGGATCATCGCTAGCACCTCCTTCATTAAAATGGTTGTCCCAGTTTCGATTGGGATCAGCCCCATAGCACCCATCATCATATGGCACTCTCGTTTTTCTCCAAGTGCGGTCCTAAATTAAAATCTTGTTGTTACAGAACTCGGACTATATTTAATCTTACAGATAAATGTGTGTAGACATAACCATCGGGATTCAGAACTGGAAAAACGTACCAGTCATGACTTTCTGCAACTTCACGCACATTAGTATCTGTACTTGTTAAGACTTGATTCAATATGTAAGTTGCTACTGCAGAGGAAATCCTAAAATTATCAGTGGTTATTCTATACCTTCAAGAAATATCAAAATTATGGTACCATTCACATGCATGTATATTAGCGTCAATAAAAACAGATCTGTTTTCATTTCCAGGAGCAAAACTAACATGCACCCCAACTATGGGTCTACCTTCGTAAGAAGAACCACCCTTCAGAAGAGTTACTTTATCATGATACTGTTCAGCTATAGCTCCTAACCAAATGTTAATCTAAAACAGCAGTAACAGTAAATAATAATAAAAATACGTGTCTTACCTCTTCTAGTGTATGGTAGTCGTCCCAACCAAATTCATCTGTAATATTCCTTTTCCCTCTTTCTTTATCAATTAGGTCTTGTACGTTAGAAATAAGGGTGTGGGGACAAAAAATCTGCACAAATTTCAAACTAGAATAACTGTATTATAAAAGCAGGTATTAATAACGTGATCAACAACATTTATAAAAACAACTTTAAAGAACACAATCTGCACCATATCTACTTGCTTTACGAATTTTTGTTTTAACACGGCGCATTAAATTTGTAAAAGCCGATATTTTTGTTTGCCGTATTTTCAGCAGTATACGCTTCTTTAATTCTGCATGTGTCGAGGCTTCCCATCCATTTTCGTACCCATTTCTCTTTAGGTTTCTCCAAAAACGTTCAATTGGGCGTAGTTGAAGTACGTTGGGAACATTTTTGTCCTTAGGGATAAAAGGAATGCTTAACTCATTATATGCAGCAAAAACTTTAGCTGCGTAATGAGCTGTTGCCATGTCTGGCCAAAATACAAAATTGCCATCCGAATGCTTTTCTCTTATAAAGCGGACAAGTCGAGACCTAATGCACTGTTTTTCATAAATATCTGCATTAACAGAATTTCCAGATGGGCAAATAAACGCAGTAGAATGTCCACGTGACGAAATGGCCAACCAAACCAACAACTTGGACTGAAATTTTTTATAACGTTTGAATTTCACTTTATCATCTACTTCTTCTCCTTCCTTGCAATAGAAATGTTTATTGTTAGTAGTATCGCTACCATCAAAAGTGAAGTAGGATTCGTCATCGATGATTATTTCAGTTCCATTTGAGGGGGAAAAAGCGGATTCAGAAAGATGCCTTAATTTTCGTTTTTGTTCCAACTTTTGTTTTTCTGAATATTTAGGGGCGAATTTTCGCGTTGCAAGTTTGACATTATTCTCCTTTAATATGTTGCTAACATACTTTTTGTCAATTTTAAATTTCGGTCCAATCTTTCTTAGTGAAACACCAAGTTTACCGTGACTTTGATTGACTAAGGCTTCTCTCTTCTTCTGGGACATTTTTCTTGCTGGTCTTCCGCTTCCTACTTGTCTTTCTACCGAATTCCCATTCTCTACTCTTCTGCAAATGCTATAAGTTGTCCTTTTTGATATCCCCATTTGGAAGAAGTGATTAACGGTGAATGACTTTTTTAAATGCATATGCCTTCTATAAAATTCGGCAATCACAGATCGGCGATCATTTTCGTTTAAGTGTTCCATTATTACAAAAAATATTGAAACTTTCAAGAGGAACTAGGCATAACAATTTTTAACAACTGTAAAAAAATGTTATAACGTCAACCGTCATTTTTCTCAAAGCTAACTCGATTTTCGGTGAATTAAAATTTGTGCAGATTTTTTGTCCCCACACCCTTAAATAGCTTTGGTTTCATCTGTTTACTTCGAATTAACTGGAGAAATTCATTTACTCTATCCGGCGGTACCATAATATCCACATGACGATTAACAGTTGTTACTTCTCTCCAAAACCTTAAACCTGGGTCTGCTTGAAGGTGATTCAAAAATTTTAGTTGTTCTACATTTTCAGGTATAACCCTGTAGACTTGATAATTATCGTAACGAAGTTTTCCTTGGTAACTGGAAACTATAATTGCACAAATAACTACCAACGAAGTTAATGGTGTGTTCATTTTCGAACAGTAAAGTACATAGACGTGATATCACGACATAGAACTTAATATCATTTCTGCTCCTATTTGATTACAAAGTAAAAATGAGTTAGGTACTCAACTTTTATCATAGAGTATCCACTTACAATTTAACTGTTATCGCTAGTGTATTATAATGTAGTGTAAAATAACACTGGCTGACACGATTTTTGTATGGTCGCCAAAAAGTAGATAGACTCAGGTAACTGAGTTCCTTGAACACAGTGGTGGCCTAGGAATTTTACAAAAACACCCCCCGTTATTGAGATATAAAAAAAATCAAGATACTTATATTTTGGGACGTAAGAAACGTTCTGCGCACAGATGCAGAATGTGCAGAAAAAATTCTCTCGCAGTTACACGCATGTTTAAAATAAGTATTGCTTCGTGTAAGATATTTTGGAATCTAATTTAGGTATTTGCGAACCCAATGTAAGTTGTTACACTTCTACGCGATTACTGAAGGAAAGTATTTCTTAAATATTATTTTTACTCTCATGACGTCCTGTCTCAAGCGTTGCGAAGCCGACCCAAACCGCTTTCGTTATGTTTGTGGTCATGAAATGTTCAAAATGCAACAGCGAACCTTTACACCTACTGTCTATATGAAAAATATTTTGGTTCTCCTGTCATGCAGTAGGAAAAATTTTTTGTATATGCTCTGTATGTGACTTAGGGTTGAGGTTAAGTGGACCGCATAAATCCGTACCGTTTGGTATCTTCAAGCTATGGTCTAAATCAACAAATTTTTGTTTAACTAATACCACCGGGTGATTACTCCAAGTCAAAACGAACAACTCATTAACCAGGCGTGTCTTCTAGTATGTAATATGACTCATCGCATTCGACGTTGGCTAAATAAAAGCCTGGAAGCGGAAGTCGCAATGGGCAATCTAGAAAGACCTCGACTGAGAAACTTTTAGAAGGGAAGCATGGCTTTAAATAGAGGCCACCTTCTGGAACGATTATTATTGAGTTGATTCACTCAGCGAGTGAACGAATTCAGTCAAGTTGCACCGGAATTATTTTGTACATAATAGCTCTGTAATTAGTCGTGTAAATCCGAGTTATTAAGAAATAAAAATTGTTGAGTTTAACCCACGTCGATTTTATTCTCCGATCAACGTAACAATATTAAATATCCATGTTTTTATGTCACTGAGATAGCCGCGATCGATCTTCACATTATGTGATTAAAGACTGGGTATAGAACTGTCACCAGGAGAAACAAGTGTTTAATTTCACACTTTAGTGGACCCGAACAAAATTTTCTTGCCTCCATTGCATATTAAGTTGGATTTGATGAAAAATTTTGTAAAATCACTTCCTAAAAAGAAAATGGATTTAAGTGTTTACAATTTATTCTTCTATCGGATGCAAAATTAAAGGAAAGCATTTTTGTAAGTTCTCAAATTCGAGAACTCCTAAAAGATCAACTGAATTATACTGAGTGAGATGCTTGGTTGTCATTCAAAAGTGTGACTGAAAACTTTTTGAGGAATTACAAAGCACCTGAGTATATTGACATTGTCGACAATTTACTGAGGAATCTCAAACTGTATTTCGCGATTTTATACGGTCTAGTTTTGCCCAGTATAAGATTTCTTCTCCGACGAATTTACAAGAGCTCGGGTCAGGTTAACTGGTGAACTTTTTGGCTTTTTCAACTTGCACTACTCGGTTCCCATTTCGTCATCCCTTTGTTGCATTAGCTTGCATCATCTCGGTTGGTAAAGGCGGAGTTCTTTGTTCCGTACTGTTTTAATTTGAGTACAAATTTTAATAGAAGTAATTGGGATTGGCGTTTTTTGTGGATGTACGATTCTGCGCATGTTGTTTGCAATATCTGACAAGTTCAGTGACATTTGATATTTGCCAATGATGGTCGATTGTGATTATGTGTTTGAATGGTACTATATACAAATTTGGATATGCGCCTTAGGTAATTAAGATTTTCAAATTTGCGAATTTTGTTTTTACGTTCTAGTTAGTTGTTTTTCGTCTTTTTATTGAGATTTTCGTGTGAATTGACTTTATAACGGCTCGTCGCACAAACATATACGTGTTTTCAATTTCATTTTGTCGGCCAGTGTCATTGTTGATAAGAAAACGATAAAACTAACCTGACTTAACTAGGTTAAGAATGTTCCATTTCTGTTTTGTTTTCTTGACTTATTCAAAGTTTTCCAGTTTCAAAATTATGCCTAATTTCAAATGTATCCACAATCCAATCTAGATTACATAATAAAAAAAAATCACGCATTATACAAAACAAATACAAATATGTTCTGGGAAAGAGTTACATAGAGTTTTAATGTTAGGACATTGAAAAGATCAAAAGATGAAAAAAAACAAACGCTTGTCCAAGTTTGTTCCTAATAGTTGAACTTATTTGACATATTTACGTTTTCTGAAACACAACCAACAGCGAATACGATTATGTTGCTCATATTGTTTCGGAAATAATTGATTTTTATGAACAAGTAAGTAATTAATTATTATTAATTTAAACACTTATTAAACAGTTTACTAACTAATTGATTTGTAACGGAAACAAGTATTCTACCTAAATATTAAATATGTAATTAGTACGATTAACTGATCATCACTTCGGATGTCTTATTCTATACCAATTAAAATTCTATACTAATTAAATGATCTAGGTGAAATATTGGAAATAAATAGATATAATTATAACATATAAATATTACAAATCGATACAAATATTTGAATATCACAAATTTAAACAAGCAAAGAAAAAATAAATCGTCATTAAAATAACTCGATGGTAATATACATTGTCTATCATCTCACCTATCTTTAAATCTGGAAATAGAACTATGATTGAAAATTATCGGCCTATATCGTTAATCTGTAATTTTGCGAAAATTTTTGAGACTATTCTACATAAATTTATCTCATTTAATACCCGGAGTTTAATCACTGTGTCTCAGCATGGATTTGTTAATGGACGATCTACCACCTCCAATCTCTGCGAATTCACGCAGTTTGTAGCTGATAATCTTGACGCTAAACGCCAGGTGGATGTGGCCTATACAGATTTTTCTAAGGCTTTTGACAAATTAGATCATGGCCTTTTACTTGTAAAACTGCGAAATTTCGGCTTCTCAAGTGCCCTGTTTGACTTAATCAGTTCCTATTTATCCAACAGAGTTCAAGTTGTAAATTATAATGGCTATGAATCCTCCAAAACTGTTGTCTCTTCTGGAGTCCCACAGGGTTCTATATTGGGGCCGCTATTTTTTGTTATCTACATCAATGACGTTGTTAGGGATATCAAATCAAATGTTCTCATGTATGCTGATGATCTAAAAATATTCAGAGAAGTTAATTCATTCGAAGACTGCTTGTTACTACAAAATGATCTTCACACATTTCACAACTGGAGTAATTCCAATCTACTACCTGTAAATTATGCTAAGTGTTACATCATGTCGTTTACTAACAAGACATCTTTAATATCGTATGGTTATACCCTTAATAACGGTATACTAACTAGAGTTGATACTTTTCGTGATCTGGGTGTTACATTCGATTCGAGGCTTACTTTCGCTGACCATATAAGTAACATTTGTTCAGGAGCACTAAAATCTCTTGGTTTTATTATGAGATGTGGTAAAATTTTTAATCACATTAGCTGCCTTCGTACTCTTTACTTTGCGTATGTCCGCTCTAAGCTGGAGTATGCTAGTGTGGTTTGGTCCCCATTTTCCCGTACTCACATTGAATCCTTGGAGAAAATACAACGTCGGTTTCTTAAATACTTAGTATTTAAAGTTGATGGCATATATCCTGAGCGAGGTATCTCTCATACCCTTCTTTTAGAACGCTTTCAATTTCAAAGCCTAGATAGTAGACGAGTAAATGCGTCCATGTCCTTTCTGCGAAAACTTATTCATTTTCAATTTGACTGTCCTAATCTACTTGATAGATTATACTTTTTGGTTCCCAGATTGGCATCGAGATCTTGTCCCTGTTTTTACTTGTCCACTCCTCGTTTAAATATCACAAAACACTCACCTATTTATGAAATGTGCACCCAGTACAACACTCACCAGAATGATTTTGATATTTTTAGGTAGTTACTTTAGACTTCTTTAATTTGGTATGTGGTTATATAGTATGCGTATTTCTAAATCCGCTGTGTCTCTGTATCCCAATGGGTACTGCAGTAATATTAGCTGTTGTTAACAGAGTTGTTTCATCTAAAGCCAAAGTTTTTCCCGTTGGTCTGTAATTGGGTTGTAATACCTGTTGGCCAACGTAACTAATAATAATAATAATAATAATAATAATAATAATATACAAGATATTATTATGGTATGCCGGCAAATTTAAATCATGGAAGTCGTGAAACAGACAAATGCGCTGCAGAGAACGTTGTAACGAAAGCGGAATTTAAGTTCCTCGTCGTAGTTTGCCACCCTTTTTTGATGATTTTACTCTAATGACAGGTATAAGATATCTCCATACCCAAAAAACCTGTCGCATATTATACTCTATACCTCGCCTTCGCAAAACAACCACTATTGTTGTTGTCAAATTTTGTACATATATTAAAAGTATCATGTGCTAACCAAAATTTTACTAATCATCCCCACCAACAATTTGATGACGTCATTTCAAAGAATTCTATGTTCATTTGATTTAACTATTATGCAACAATACTATACTTCTATCGAATCCGCTTTGAGATTTTCCCTAACCGTCCAAATTTTTGAAAAACACAATGCACGGTATAATAGTAGTTCACCATTAGTGTAAGGGATCCCGGCCATGGCCTAGTGGTTGAGCGTAAGGAATACAGACCGGACTATGTTTATGATGCCATAACAATTTTTATTTGGATGAAATTACCCCACCTTCTCGAAAACGCCCATCTTTATTGAATAAAAATTATAACAATAATATTCAGAACATCCTGTGCGATTGTGACTGTATCAATAATAATTTTAGTCCCCTGTTTTGTGGCGACAAACTTATTCAAATCAAAACAATTTATGCTTCCTGAGCGTAAGTTTCAAGGATGAGGAAAATTCTGTCGAAGTAACCTTGGACCAATTTTTTTATTTTTTACTAAACAGTAGTACAAAGTAAATAATTCCTTGAATTAAGGCAACAATTTATCAAACTCTTCGAAAATAGTTATAAGAGAATCAAACGTTTCTTCGGCACATGGAAGAATTTGGTCTGGTGGCAGTATAAACCCATATGTACCCTTGTCTCGAAGTTCATAAGTATAGGTAATCGGAGTTCCAAATGTACCTTTAACCCAATCCATGCTTCCACCACTCGCTACATCTAAATTTTTGAAGTTGATTAATAGAAAAGAAGGCGTAAGAACTACTTACACATAATTTCAACAATATTTCCTACAGTGTACTCAGTGCCATTTCGCTGAGCTAAACTAGCAGCTGCTTTGATTCCCACCTCATACTAAAACACACACATTTGTTTTTTGTTTTCAACAATTAAACATCTTACCAACTGATCATAATTATCTAAATGGGCACTAGAAAATCCATATGGAAGTAAGAACATTTGTGAATAAGAATGCAGTGAAATATATGCTTGTAACTTTGGTGCAATGGTGGTAATAAATTCTGAAATTGTTCTGGTACTAGTTTCAGAAAATGCCGATGGTCCACGATAAGTATCGGAACAAGGGTCACCGCTAGAACCTCCATCATTGAAATGATATCCCCAATTGCGGTTCGGATCGACACCATTACATAGGAAATAAGGCGTACGAGTTTTACGCCACATCCGGTTCTAAAAAAAATAGGCATGTAAAGGTGTGTAAGTGTTTGATATAATTATAACAACCCTCTTTTTAGGTTAACAATAAATTATGTTATTAAAGGCACAAGTGAAGAGAATAATAAGTACCTAGTACTAAATCACACTAATAATGTGTGATAATTTATAGAAATAAAAACAACTGGAATAACACTTACAGTTGTTTTAGTATATACAAATCCATCTGGATTAAAGACAGGAACAAAATACCAGTCATGGCTCTCCGCAACTTGTCGAACATTTGGTTCGTTACTAGTTAGCAACTCATTTAAAGTCCACGTTGCTACAGCAGAAGTTATCCTGAAAAAATAAGTTGTTTATAAACTTCTGGCACATTACGTCCATACCATTCTCTTGCATGAATGTTAGATTCAATAAAAGCTGTTCTATTTTCGTTAGCAGGACTGTAGGAAACTTTAACCCCAAGAATATCTCGCCCTTCATAAGTTCTTCCTGCCGATATCAAAGTCACTATATCCGGGTACTGTTTCACTAAGTCTCTTAAAAATTGATAAATCTTCAACCAACTTGTAGATTTCAGTCACCATACGAAAAACTTACCTCTTCAAGATCATGGTACTCAGTCCATTCAAGCTGTCTTGTGCTTTTTCTAGGTGTTTCGTTGTCAATGAGTTTTTGAACATCAGGTACATAAACTCTGGCATCGAATCCACCGCTGCTGATTACATCATTAAATCTATATTTGTAATGTGGTGGAACCATTATATCAACAGGATGTCCCACTCCTCTAACATCTGTCCAGAAATCATAGCCACTGTTAGTACTTTCAAGAGTTCTTAGATTTTCAACTGCTTCTTGAGATTTAGGTGTCAATCTATAAACTTTAAAACCATCGTAACGAACTTGCTCTCCCCAGTTTTGACCGAAAAAGGTTATAAATAATAGAAAAACAAATGTAGTGTACATTTTCATGTGACTGTACAAAGAATGGTGCAAATACTGGAGGATATGTCTGCCTTACTTTATTTATACAAGGATGTAATCTATAAAAAAGTATAAACCCCTGAATCTGATAATAATATTGTTTAAAAGTATAATAATCACGCCATGAGATTTCAAAAGAAAGATGTCGGGATTTAACTAAGAGTGTTATCTTTGAAATTGATTGATGATTTTGTGTCCTTCAGACTATAAGCTTATATTATGCCAAAAAATGTGTAATTAACTTAAGAAAATAAATAACATGTGAGAAAATAAAGCATTTAAAACACTTATCGATTCGATAATATTTTATTGTAATTAAATTTTGACATAATTTTCAAATTTTATTCACGGTTTTAAATCTACTATTATTGTGAACAGCTGTCCTTTATAAATAAAAAAAACTCTTGTTGATTTAAACTAAAACTTATACATCCATGCAATCTCTGTGCGGCAATGTTTTGTCACGTCTTAAAGATAACCTAATTTAACATAGAGAAAATTAATTAATTTATGAAATGGAAAATTACAGAGTATTATGGATTCAAAAACTTAAGAGTTTTTAGTTTTAGTTTAATTTTTTCGAATATAATGTAATAGTAAACTGTTATGGTGTTACTATAACATGTGATGTATTCTTGTGTTTATTTTAAACATTGTTTTTATATTTATGATATTGTGATAATTGATAAACAAAAAAAGTGTGAGCTTAGTTAATTTGTATTTGTAGTAAAGTTTACAAAATTTTATCAAACTCCTGCAATATGGTCACAAGTGAGTCCAGTGTTTCTTGACCACTAGGAATGATCTGATTAGCAGGCAGGATAAAGCCATATCGTCCAGTATCACGAAGTTCGTAAGTATAGGTAATTGGAGTTCCAAATGTGCCTTTTACCCAATCCATGCTGCCACCACTCGCCACATCTAAAAAAATCATTTTTATTAGTATAACTTCAACAACTCATAAAATGTACTCACAAAGAACTTCTACTATATTTCCAACCTGAAACCGAGTGTTATATCGCTGAGCCAAGCTGGATGCTGCTTTTACACCTACACTGTACTGTAAATAAAATATCTTTAGATTATTGCTTATTAACTCGATCCTTCAATTTACCAGATCATTATAATTATCCTGGTGTGCAGCTGAGTAACCGTACGGTAGCAACAAAAGTTGTGAGTAGGAATGGAACGCAATGTATGCACGTAGTTGTGGTGCTACTGTACCAATATATTCTGAAAGTGTGTTTGTACTCAATTCAGAAAAGGCGTAGGGTCCACGGTATGTTTCAGAACAAGGAGAACTGCTAGTACCACCTTCGTTAAAGTGGTAGCCCCAGTTTCTGTTAGGGTCAGCACCCGCACACGTAGAATAAGGTGTACGAGTTTTACGCCACATACGATCCTAAATACAGAATATTATAAATTTTCTATAATTTGTAGTGTAATTGTTACCGTTGTGTGACTGTAGACGAAACCATCTGGGTTAAAGATTGGAACGAAAATCCAGTCGTGGCTTTCTGCAATTTGCCGAACATTTGAGTCTTGGCTGGTCAAAAGTTCGTTCAAAATGTATGTCGACACAGCTGAGCTTATCCTAGAAAAGTAAGTGGCCTCTATAGAAACTTTTTCTGCTACCAATTTGTCAAATTATTCTTACCATTCTCTTGCGTGGATATTCGACTCAATAAAAACCGTACGATCTTGATTACCAGATTTAAAAGACACTTTGACTCCAAGAATGTCGCGTCCTTGGTAACTTCTACCAGCAGCTATGAGACTTACTTGTGAATAGGTGCTAGCCAGATCCCTTAGCCACTGATTGATCTAAAATCAATACATAGTGATTGCCCAGAAAATTTGCACAAAATAATTTACCTCATCAAGTGTGTGGTAGCTGGACCATTCAAGACCGACAGCACGTCCTGCTTTAGGATTCTCATTATCAATCAGTTTTTGGACATCGGAAATGTACTCCTCCACATCAAACTGACTACCAGCAAGTGCATCACTAAATCGATATTTCAGATGTGGAGCAACCATTATGTCCACAGGATGTCCTACACCTTTAACTTCAGTCCAGAAATCATAGACATTGTCGCTTTCTTCGAGTGCTCGTAAAATTTCAACGGCCTCATTAGATTTAGGCACTACCCGATATACTTTAAAATTATCATAGCGAACCTTATCGTCAGCTGAAATATGGTAACAGCATGCCGTAAGTACAAGAACGGTAGTGATGATGTTCATTTTAGTAGCGCAGTAGCTTTTTCAAAACAAACTAGAGTTCAATTATTTACTGTCTTTTATTTATATATAAATCTAATCAAAATCTTTTCGGATCAGTGATAACGTACAGTATGAATATACACACTTAATTATTAGCAAATCATACGTCGAGTATATATTTGTTTTTCTATCTTAATGATTGATTGATGTGATTAAACAGTTTTAAGAAAGAATAAGGCTTTACACAAGATACAATCAGAAAAAATAATACAATAGAACATTAATGAGACTAGACATATTTCAAAATGATTGAAAAACATCTGCCGCTTTATTTAAAAAAATATTTACAACACCTCATTTTTACAGTGTACAGATTGTGTAAAAAAGGAACAAATTTTAAACAGAGTCCTTCATTTCTGCAGAAGATGTAGAACTATTTTAATACCATTTGTTGAAAGCCACAAGAGCCACAAAAATCCTATGAAACAAAAAAAAAAATCTCCCTTTTTGATACAGTCTGTGTACCTAACTAAAGTACAATATGGAATTCTTCCATTGTTCCTAAATAACTGAAAATACGTACAGAAGTAGAATTTTTAGTTTTTTGGTCAACTTAAATTATAAACTTTAAAACTACAGCTAAAATTTCAATTGCAAAATAAATATATACTTTTCCTTCAGAAAAATATATAGACTAGAAAAGAGAAATAGAAATAGAAAAGAGAAATTTCATGAACTGTAGAGACACTACAGCCTTGAATAAAAAAATAGTGAAGAATCAGCCCCACATTACCAATTGTGCGTGTAATGTTGATAAAATAGCTATATCAAAACAACTATCTAAAAAAAAGTCTAAAGATAATTTTACGAACGTTTTTATTGTAGTTCCTCTCTTTTTTTTTGAGCTTTCAGACCTTAAAATCTCCGATTAAGAACAACCATTAAATAATTTTTGTGAATTTTATAATGTGCGAATGTTTTTTATGTCACTTCAGAACAGCATCATTAAGAATGTAATCTTAAACGTGTCTAATTATCATACAAATAACGTTTAATGATTCAGCACAAAATGTGAAATATCAAGAGGACATTTGTCATTCTTATGTCTCACAGTCACAATATAAAGACTTTGATACTGACAGAATTAGAAATACTTCTAAGATAAGCCGAGCATTCATCTTTAAAAGATTAAACACATTAACGCATCTAGATGAGATAATAACGGTATTAATTACTTTTATCAAAGTCGTTTTGTGTGTGGTTTAGTACAATGAAGAAAATGCTTTTTTACTCGCTAAGAGTTAAAGTAATAAAGATGAAAAAAATTACACATTAATGATGACGGTTGACCTTACTGTTAACACTATGTACAAAGAAAATTGCTAGAAAATAACATTCGTTTTATTAAAATCAAAATTTAGTAACACATACAATTAAATATAAACTATAAGTGTACAACATAATAAGTTCAGTGTAAAACCTTCCTTCTTCACTTTCCTTGATTTGATTCTTCGAATTATTGCGTTATTTTAAACAATTTAACTTTTCTGAGATGTTTACAATAAGTAAATAAATCCTATAAACGCTCCACGTTATTCAAAAAATAGTAATTAAACTTTTTTTTAGTATTTCATATAAATATTTATTTATAAAGAGATATACATGCGTTTTAGAAAAATTGCAGCGAACTCTGCATTGTTTTATTCTTTTCCTAACTCCCATTCGCCGACCATCTTTTGGTTTAGGGTCCCTTAGTTAATAATTAGTACAGATGATTAAAATTAAAAATTTACAAACCTTTGAGTTCATTGTCACCCACTCTTTCTATCACCGAAACTTTCAAATTAAGTAAGACTGAGAAGTTTAACCATTTGTTACCGGCTTTTACGGTTTTTGAAATTCAGAGGAAATGGAAAAGGAACTAGCAAAAACCAATAGCGACTTTTCTTCGCAAATACCACAAAAATAATGTATCCCTATATGACAACATACGAAATTTATAATCTTTTTAATCGAACAACAGAATACAAACTTGCTTCTAAAATTGTCAAATTCATTTAGAATGTGTTTGTTGTACAAAGAAAGTAAAGACACAAAATTTCATACGTTCTACATAGGCACTGCTCATTAACCAACTGAAGATAATGTATTAAAAAGTATAAATTAAAAATGCTACTGACACAATGCTTATTGTTGAAAACAGATGTCTTGAACCTGAAATTAAAAAAATCATTTGTATTACTAATATAAGAAACAGATCATAGATAAAAAAAAAGCATGTCACACTATACATTTTAAACGAGATTTTCTAACATTTTGGTTAAATTTCAGAAGTTTTCTCTCTAATAAAATTATTAAATATTAAACAGAGACGACAGATGGATACCCATGTACCTTATATTTCCTTTAGTTTTCTTGAAACTACTTTACTGTACTTTACATCTGTCTAGATTAAGAGTTAAATTTTATTTGAGTGAAGATGCGATTACAAATTATCTTGATCACGTGATATCAAAAACCCATTATGAAACCCACATTCCTAACTAAATTACAAATAGTCTTACCTCTGCTTGCCGTTAATGCAATTGTGACGATATCTAAAACATGCATTTAGTTAGTTCACTGATCACTTGGAAGTTTTACTCTACCCTCCGTAGTTGTAACTTCCGGCTGGACAATCCTCGATGGCTCAATCACCTCTAAACGTGCAGATTTTCTGACTGTGTGGAATGTCGGCCACTCTAAACAAACTTCACAGGTGTAGATGCCGCCACTTTTTGGAGTCAGTGCTTTAAGCTCGAAAAAGCAGGATCCAATCTGAGATCTTCCAAGGTGATAGACAGATATCTCCTCCAAAGGGAACTGTTGAACCAGACCCTCTGCCGTACATCTAAAGAACTCCATGTTGTCTTTGTACCATTTCACGGCGTAGAAATTTCCACCCTCTAAATCATACTTGCAGTTTAATTTAACTGCGTCCCAGGCGCTTTTTGGAACATCGAGGCTCGTAATTTTTAGGGTAGAGACTGGGAGGTACCATAAACCTGCAAAACAATAATTTTTTAAAGTGGTAGCTTTCATTAATTCCTATTAAACTGTCTCTCGTGATGCACGCAATGTCGATACTATTTTTAAGAAAACTTAAGCAGAGTACAAGCAACAGACACTTTCTCTTTCATTAATCAATATCTTACAAGAGAGAAAAGTGCATTAAATTAATAAGAGATTGTACGAATGATATACCAAATATTGTGAACTGTGAATGTGTTTTTCTAAAATTGTTATATCTAATTAACTGTGTATCTAAACTTAAGTGAAGTTTTTATTTGTAAATGCGTGAGCGCTTGCCAGATATTTTTACTTCTGTAGCTAGTTTTTACCACCACTATTTGTGAACTTTTATTATTGTCGGTCTGAAAAATAAATTAAACTTTAGAATGATAATAAAAGTTTATGTTTTACCATTATATGGAAAAACGGCATAATAATTTTCTTTTATGCCTATTATACTTTCTGTCTTTACTTTATATTCTTACGTTACTCTTAATTAACTTGTCGTTAACTAAAATGAATCTCTCAGATATCATCTTTATGATATTCCTAATACACGTACAAAATCTGATAACAATCTATCTAATAAAAATCGACACAGACGACAGACAGACGGAAACGGGAGACCACTTTTATGTTCAATGAAAATTATAACTAAATATAAACCATTCTCCTATTTACAATAGAGTAAGATAAGAAAATGTACAACGGTTTAATATCACAAAATAAAAAAAATCAATTTTAGTCAGTAAGTAGTTGTGTTACAAAAAAAAACTAATTTTGCGTTCGTATCGTTACTAAGGTGTAATAATAATTTTTTAGACAATATAAAATTGTAATATTTAGGATGTGAATGAGGTTGCGATAATATTATTCTAGTATTTAATTAGATATGCAAACTAAAAAATTAGCTAAAAATTATTAAGTTTGTTTAATCAGAATAAGGACATTTTTTACAACAGAAAAAATTGTTTTTCATAGTAAATTCGTTTTTTTAAAGAGTAAGCTGATGTTTCAGCGTATTTTTGAGGGATGTTTATAAATAAATGAGTTATGTTTATAAATAAATGAGTTATTTGTTATTAAAGTTAAGCGCAAAATATTTTTCATAGCGATAGAATATTTTCTAAAATAAAAATTTCAAGTTGTACAATAAAATTTCAAAACGAATCCAAAAATTCAAAAAAATTTTGCAGAACCTTATGTTTACAGAGCTACAATGCTTTAATTGTATTATTTTCGCTAGATGGCAGCTTTAAACTAATATAGTTTCTGCAATCTATTTTATAGGAACACTAAACTAATATTAACAAAATACACAATCATATGTAGATTGTAATACTTGGTCCAGAAATAAAAAGCCTTTTTGGGGTGTCTGAAAACAAGGAATGCTGTAAGGTTTTTTGAGTACTTTTAACGTAATTATGGTTGATTTTGGATGATTTTCAACAGTTTTCTCATGTGCCCAATTTCTGATGGGGTATTGATTTACAATAAGAAAAGAAACTTTTGAGTATTTTTTGGTCGCATTAAAAATTATGATTTTTGAAGGATTTTGTGTCTTTTTGGTTGTTAACTTTTCGGAAAACATAAATTTTTTGGATCCTGCCTTGTTTTGTAAGGCGCCAAATATACCTCTTCGATTTAGTGTTGTTTTTCCTTTTTTTTGCATGCGCCAATTGGTCTAGTCCAGAAATACAAAGCCGGACTTTAAAAGTTTTTCAGAGTGCTCTTGAGATAATTTTGCATGATTTTTGGGTGATTTTCAACGCTTTTTTCGTGTGCCTAATTTTTGGTGGTCTACAGGTATTTGGTACTTTTGGGGTGTATACAAATTGGTGTTTTTTTAAACCTTTTCTGCCTTGTTTTTTGAAGACGCCAAATGTCCTGGTCCAGAAATAGAAAGCCATTTTGGGGTGCTTAAAAACAAAGCATTTTGTAAGTTTTTTAGATCTTTTTCGGATGTTTATTTTTGAGAAAACACTAAATTTGTAGGACTTTTTCATGTGCCCAATTTTTGGTGGTCTACAGATATTTGGGTACTTTTGGAGTTAATAAAAATTAATGCTTTTAAACAGTTTTAGGCCTTTTTCGGTTAATGACTTTTGGAAAAACAGCTAAATTTGTAAGATTCAACCTTGATTTTTTACACGCGAAATCTCCTGGTCCAGAAGTAAAAAGGCATTTTGGGGTGTATAAAAACAAGGTATTTTGTTAGATTTTTAGGGCGTTGTTGAGGTAATTTTGCATTATTTTGGGAGATATTAACTGTTTTTTCGTGTGCCTAATTTTTGGTGGTCTACAGATATTTGGTACTTTTGGGGTGCATACAAATTGGTGCTTTTTTAAACCTTTTCTGCCTTGTTTTTTGAAGACGCCAAATGTCCTGGTCCAGAAATAAAAAGCCATTTTGGGGTGCTTAAAAACAAGGCATTTTGTAAGTTTTTTCGATCTTTTTCGGATGTTTATTTTTGAGAAAACACTAAATTTGCAGGCCTTTTTCATGTGTCTACAGATATTTGGGTACTTTTGGAGTTAATAAAAATTAATGCGTTTAAACAGTTTTAGGCCTTTTTCAATTGGTGACTTTTGGAAAAACAGCTAAATTTGTAAGATTTAACCTTGATTTTGTAGACGCCAAATCTCCTGGCCCAGAAGTAAAAAGGCATTTTGGGGTGTATAAAAACAAGGTATTTTGTTAGATTTTTAGGGCGTTCTTGAGGTAATTTTGCATTATTTTGGGAGATTTTAACTGTTTTTTCGTGTGCCTAATTTTTGGTAGTCTACAGATATTTGGTACTTCTGGGGTGCATACAAGTTGGTGCTTTTTTAAACCTTTTCTGCCTTGTTTTTTGAAGACGCCAAATGTCCTGGTCCAGAAATAAAAAGCCATTTTGGGGTGCTTAAAAACAAGGCATTTTGTAAATTTTTTAGATCTTTTTCGGATGTTTATTTTTGAGAAAACACTAAATTTGTAGGACTCTTTCATGTGCCCAATTTTTGGTGGTCTACAGATATTTGGGTACTTTTGGAGTTAATAAAACTTAATGCTTTCAAACAGTTTTAGGCCTTTTTCGGTTGCTGACTTTTGGGAAAACAGCTAAATTTGTAAGATTCAACCTTGATTTTGTAGACGCCAAATCTCCTGGTCCAGAAGTAAAAAGCCATTTTAGGGTGTGTAAAACAAGGTATTTTGTTAGTTTTTTAGGGCATTCTTGAGATAATTTTGCATTATTTTGGGAGATTTTAACTGTTTTTTCGTGTGCCCAATTTTTGGTGGTCTACAGATATTTGGGTACTTTTGGGGTGCATAAAAATTAATGCCTTTCGAGAGGTTTTAGGCCTTTTTCGGTCGTTTGCTTTTGAGCAAACAGCTAAATTTATAGGATTCTGCCTTGTTTTTTAAGACGCCAAATGCCCTGTCCCAGAAATAACATTTTATATACTACTCAATTTTTAAACCACCAATCGTCTAAGTTATCCATTTTTTGTTAGGATAAACTGTGCTGCTTATTCCTGTTAATAAAATAATTAACAAAAGTCCTGTAAAAGCTACCCTTGATATCCGAATCTTTTATGTAACAAAAATTCAATCCATACAAATAGTGGTTTATTGAAGAATAGTTTATATATTCTTCTGTTCTTCTGTTTGATTACCAAGTACACTGTCCGAACAAGTATATTAATTAGTAATTACATAGGAGGGACGGGAAAATTTTAAACTTTAAGACACATGTATAATGTATAGGTACTTTTACTAACTGTGGCGATTTCTTACTGAACAAAAAAATAACTAAACCTAAAAACCATCTAGTAACCAGTTTTCTCCATCATAAGTTCAAAAAGAGAAGAGTGGGTGATAGAACCAGCATCCGCGATAAGCACTCTATCTCTGTTCCTAAATACATATTTCCAAACTTAAAAAAACTGTCAATAACCTCCACTAATGTTTAAAGGATTTCAGCATCCTATGGTCATTCTTTTAAAAAAATCTAACACGTAACATATGTGTTCCTTCAACTATGTGATAATTGGCATTGATCTACTCAATATAATTAGATTAGAATTTGTACAACTAAATTGATGTGAAAGTTAAATAAGGTTGTTAACAGTTCTACATTCAAGTTACAACAAAATTAATTTAAATTAAAGGTTATTACATGTAAATTTAATAAGTACACTTTTAGTAGCGTAGCGAGTGTAGTGTCTAAGATCAATTAACTGTCTCCAAACAATTACATCAATTAAAAGAAAACAAATCTGTATATTATAATAAAATCTGTTATTGTCTTAAAAAAAAACGCACCTTTAATATATTACAAATAAAAGTACCTACAGATTTTACAACAATGTATGTTAAAAAGATTCTTAAAAACATCCAAACAGCAGATGTTCTAAGGTTTCTTCTTTACATACATTTCAGACTGTACTTATTTTGGTCGTTACAGTACATGTAGTGTTTCCATTTAATCGAGTCTGGTCAATAATCCTAATGAAACAGATTAGAATTCTGCATGTGAAGCAATCAGTTCGTATATGAGAGGTACTAGCCAGGAAATAGTTGTATAACAATAAACATTAGCGGCAAAGTTCTTCAAGTAAGTTAACGAAGTGTTAACGTTTTATGACCCCTAGGGTACGAAAAAGTAGGTCTTATGTTTCCGCCTGTCTGTCGTCTGTGGACTATCGTTTGTTTCTGTCGATTTTTATTAGACAGACAGGTAATCTCCGACATAATCATAGATAGATAGACAGACGACAAACAGACGAAAACTAGATAAATAACTAAAGACAGAAATAAAATTTAGTTTCGATATATGTACATATCGTTAATAATGAAGGTTGTTGGTGTCGTTATTATTGTTAGCATTATCATAAATTAGGATAAGTACAGCTTTTCTCAGTTCTCAGTTTGAAACTTTCCTTAATTGTCGAAGAAGTACAACCCATGAAAAAACTACAAATAAGCTCATTAGATACGAGTATGTCATAA